ATAGCTTGACTAATTTGACAGGTTTTTTAACGTTAGTGTTTAATGGTATAGCTGGACTAATTTGACAGGTTTTTTACGTTAAGGTTTAATAACATAGCTGGACTAATTTGACAGGTTTTTTACGTTAGTGTTTAATAACATAGCTTGACTAATTTGACAGGTTTTTTAACGTTAGTGTTTAATGGTATAGCTGGACTAATTTGACAGGTTTTTTACGTTAGTGTTTAATAACATAGCTTGACTAATTTGACAGGTTTTTTAACGTTAGTGTTTAATGGTATAGCTGGACTAATTTGACAGGTTTTTAATGTTAGTGTTTAATAACATAGCTGGACTAATTTGACAGGTTTTTTACGTTAATGTGTAATAACGAAGATGGACTAATTTGACAGATTTTTTACGTTAATGTTTAATAACATAGCTGGACTAATTTGACAGGTTTTTTTACGTCAATGTTTAATAACGTAGCTTGACTAATTTGACAGGTTTTTTTCGTTAATGTTTAATAACATAGCTTAAACATTAACGTAAAAAACCTGTCAAATTAGTCCAGCTACGTTATTAAACATTAACGTAAAAAAACTGTCAAATTAGTCCAGCTATGTTATTAAATATTAACGTAAAAAACCTGTCAAATTAGTCAATAACATAGCTGGACTAATTTGACAGGTTTTTTCACGTTAATGTTTAATAACGTAGCTGGACTAATTTGACAGGTTTTTTACGTTAATGTTTAATAACGTAGCTGGACTAATTTGACAGGTTTTTTACGTTAATGTTTAATAACATAGCTGGACTAATTTGACAGTTTTTTACGTTAATGTTTAATAACATAGCTGGACTAATTTGACAGGTTTTTTACGTTAATGTTTAATAACATAGCTGGACTAATTTGTTAGTTTTTTCTTTTTTAAAAAGAACAAATATGTAACGTATCCTTTGATAAGACTTGCTAAAACACTTGCACCTACCTCATTTCAGGAAATGGAACTTGAAAGAAACATAAAATAATTTGTATTTCTTACATCATCATGACTCTGTTCATTGTGTATTCATTAAAGTGATTCGTATTTTAATACGTAAAACACAATGAAACAGTTTATCAACTTTATCCTCAAAAATAGCAGTATTACAGTTTCACTTTATAAATAAACTCTATAAACTTTAGGGTTTCAATACAAGCGAAATATATTTTATTTTTCAAAAGTATTATTGTGCATGTGGTATTAGAAGTTTTGGCAGAATTCTAAACCCAACTAGCCATTCTCTTGTAGAAAACTAAGTTGTTAGTATATGTTGATATTCAGTAAGGCCAATCAAAATAACCTACGGTAACCTTGCACCTAATAACCTGCTTTAAAGCAGTCTTTAAGAATTAAAGATTCTTAAGGTAAGATGTTAAAATGTTTGTTTCCCGAAGTCAGGTATAAACGATTTGTAGCATAACCCACTAAAATTGTGTCACACTTTAATATAATGCGGACCATCAAACTCTTTTGAAACGTGTACAACTATAAAGAAATAAGTAAATGCAGAAAGAAATAAGAGCCCAGTAATTACCATTCTTTATTAAATTAAAATCCAAAGAGAGGCATACAAAATCAACTTTTTGGCAAATCAAGTAACAACCGCTAAGATTCAATTAAATGTTTGGTATATATATATACATATATATGTATGTACACATCACAGATGGATATGAATATGCTGTCAATGAAGAATGAAGCCCAAACGGCGGTGGTATGACGAATGATATATAATCAACGAAATATCGCGACAAAAAAGCGTTGATCTTTTAAGAAAACTCACTCTTCTTTTCCATTCATTCCCTCAATTGCTCTTAATTTTTGAATATTTTTGTTTCTCTAATAACTTTGTCACAAAATTACACACAGTATTTCACCAAATTAAGCTTGGACTTTTGGACTAACTAAGATTGAAAAGTATGGTATTTTGACATTAAGATGGCTATTTTTTATTCTGCACAACAAAAGGGACTACAATCCAGAAGAAATACATATACATAAAACTATAGGATATGTATATCTACACATTTTATACACTTGTCCTGCGAAATATTTGACCCAAATCAAAACAGGCTCTTTTAGTTTTCATTAAATTCATTGTCAATATACTGAAATATAGCTTTTTCTTAATCATAATGTTAAATTTATTACTTTCTAATACTTTTCTGAACAAATTAAATATATTTATTGAGCTTTAATGATATCACTCCTATTGACAAAGTTTTGAAACAATAACATTCAAAGTCGAGGGGAAAATACTTAAATAATTTTACAAGCATGAATACTTTCCTCACTTTATAAACAATCAGGTACAATTATTAAACAAGGTGGACTAAATTTAGTACAAAAGTATTCAGGTTATCAAAATGTGCACATACAATGCCCATATGTGTAGTAAAATGTAACAATCTTATATATAATTGAAATTATTTTCAAAAGTATACATTTCGGCAAAGGCATAGAAATTAACTTTGGTCCATTTTGAATGATCAACACGATGGCTAACACAGTCACTAAGGCATTATTCAGTTCTTCACTAGTGGCGTCATACAAACATTGAAGGTTAATATACCATAGCAAGCAGATTATTTAAGCTTTACAAGAAGTGGCGGGAGCGTGAGGAGACTATTCGACCTTTCACAAGAAGCAAGTAAAAAGTTACAATTTTTCAATACTAGTAAACATCTGGCTGAATTACTTTTGTTGAGGTATACACAAGAAGTAGGTTTCTGTTGCTAACAAATCAGTCTACAGCACAACAAAACTAAAATAACCCTTACTGTGATCTTTATGTTCTAAAAATTTAGGCGATAATGTTTATTTAAAATTTTCTCATCTTATCATGAAAATAACTGACCTTCTGATCTTAATCAACAGTCTTACAACATGTAACAACTAATAACGTTTAACCTTGTGAGATAGTTAAAAAATTACAATACTTAAATGTGGCTTACGCTGCACGTAGATTTATATTTAAAGCAACTTTATTTTTCGCAATCTTTTTACTGTAAAAAAGTAGTTGACGTTTCTACATGATTCAATAAAACTAAGCCTACAACATTTTCTTTCGAAACAAGAATAGTGTTCTTTTGAGTAAAAGTTTTATTCAGAATGTTAGAAGTTCATATTACTTTTAGAAATGGCATAAATATTATATTTAAAAAAATAAGATAATGAAATTCCATCCTGTCATTAATTAAAGCACTACTTTGGAAAAAAAAAAGTATACAAAGAGTTTGTTCTGAAGCCTAGCTGGTCATAAAGTTATTTTAAATCAATTCTTTGTTTAATAACTATTTTAACTAAATACTAATACTAGATAACTATTTTACATAATGAAAAAAAAAAGATCAGAAATTTTGGCAGAGTGTTGACGTAAGAACAATAAGCAAGTTAGTTCTCCAAATCGTTTGGCATTTTCCCGCTGTATAAAGCAAGCAGTTAATATAAAAAAATTAGTGAAAAGATCACGTTATATGGAACAAACAATCATAAGACTTGCAATTAGAGAAACCAGTTTCAACACATTCATGCGTCATCTTTAACATCAGTTAATATCATGTACGCTTGTTAATTAAAATAAGATAAAAATGCAAGATATTTTAAATTCAAATATAACATTTTATAAACTCATGTTTCATGAAATTGCCGTTATTGTCTGAATTTTGATTAACACAATATTTATGACAAACCATTTAAAATGAAACAACAAATTCAACTGTACTGAATGTTGAGTTGATTTTTGCAACGTCTCCAACAATAAACTTTCTTGAAAATGTTTACATATTAGCTAAATAAAATATCGCGGAAATTTTTAGAAATTCGGTGCCCCAGTGAAATAGTTTTTTCTTACCCAATAATTTTTCTTTATTTGTAGTAAATGAATAAAACACAAAGACAGCAAAGGATGAGGTTCGCTTCGCGAGAGCATTTGTTAAAAATCTTTAAAGAAAATATACGAATTAATCATTTCTACTAACATGTAAGAATATAAAAGTTATCTAACTCGAGTCACTATTCTTAGTTATTATTATTATTCTTTTTTGCTAATTAATGATTTTACATCATGATGTTCCAGATGAAGGAAGAACATTTTCACCTAATTTTGGAAATGATTAATCAAAAGATCGTGTAGCTACTGAGTGTCGCTTTGCATGAAGCGCGAGGTGATCAGAACGCGAGAAGCAGCGGTCACAATGGGAACACTTGAAGGGTTTCGAACCAGTGTGCTTTCGATAATGGCGGGTCAGTTCGTCAGAACGAGCGAAACGCCAGTCGCAGCCTTCCCAAGAACACTTGTACGGTTTTTCACCTGCAAGAAAAACAGTTTAAGAATAAAGCCTTTTGTGATAATTATAGGAAACTTTCCAAAATATGGAAAGAAATCCTGCGACAAAAATACACACTGTGTTTAAAAAGAAAAACTTTAAAATTTTCACAATCTCTTGATACTTTATCCGAAATGAAAAGAAAGCCTGAAAGAACACGTAATAAATTTTAAGTTATACTTTATGGTTTTATGAAAATGTGATTTGAAAATTGCAATAATCCAGTCATATAATTATACGGAATATAATTATAATAATTATACGGAATATAATTATAATAATTATACGGAATATAATTATGATAATTATACGGAATATAATTATCATAATTATGATAATTATACGGAAGAGTAGATGAAATTAGCATATATACTGAAGATTGAGCGCGTTATATTAAAACTGTATTGAATATGCAAATAAGCAAGTCTTGTGACAACTACATTTGATATAAAGCCATGGTGATTCTGAATGTACCTAAACCACATTTTGGTATTGTTTGGTGTTCGCAGATAGTGTGCTGCCACAAAAAAAAATTGGTCTATTATGGTAAGGGCAGGTAATAACCACTTCATATAGTCACATCACAAATCTATAGAAGAAAACAAATAACTAAAAGAAAAAAAAGCAAAGGTGATAAAATAAAGAAATTAGACTTTTAGAGAAAAATCACCTTTAAATCACTATGGTAGTAATTTATTTACTTGGCGACGTTACGAACTTTGTGGCTTTTTTTCAAGCGAGAAACAAGCCTGTCGGTTAATGACAATAGAAGAAGATAGAAGCCAGAAGGATTTTAGGATATGCTCATTTTCTGAGTGATTCCTTAATGAACCTTCTTATTACTGTATTCTAAATATGGTTGCTTATTAGCTATTTTGTACATGAAAACAGTAGACTTTTTTTAACCTCAAAGGTATTTAATTGACTGAAGTGCATAAAACAAAGACGACGTTTTTTAAAGGTATCGGATATTCAAAATGGCAATAGATACATCCAAAACACAACTACTGGCGTAGCTCACATATTCTTCTCGATCATATAGTTATGTCTCCACAGAGAGACACACTTTTTCTATTGTTTATCCTTCTTCTTTCTTCTTCCAAACACTTTTCAATCGACCACCATTCCTTGATTTCTCTGCGGATTGACTTGAAACTTGGTAGGATTATACTTTGGTTCAGTATGCTCAGACTCCTTTTAATTATTTTTTTATTTAGGCCTTTTTAATGGTTTTATGGGGTCAAAGGTAAAATAAACCAAAAATGTATATTTTCGGCTTCTGTGTAATCATACTTTAAGCAATCAAACGAAAATTGGCACAAATAAAAATTGTCATGCGCCCAACACATTGAACATAAAAAGTTAGATTTTCCCATTTTGAGTCTTTTTAGGAGGGCCATAGCTCAGAAAAAAAAGCATAATTTTGGGAATTTTGGTCAATTACCTGGCCATATTTTGACCAATTTACATGGGGTTTGGTACGAGGATACCATCTTGCAGGCCCCAAGCAGTGATACAGACAGTTTTAAATTTTTGGTGTCAAAATTGGCCATGCTTGGATTGCGTGGCGGAGACTGTGGCATTCCCCCACGAATATTGGTCTTTTTAAGTAGTTAGATGACCGAAAGGTCAACCATGATAAAAATCATGGTATAAATGCTAGCTCGACCTAATCTTCTTTTATTTGCCAGTGAATTAAACTGAATTCAAGAATTACAATTGTAAATTAGAAATAATGTGGGTATTAAAACTGAACAGTTATGTTACGGAGTATATAAATACCTATTTATTCATACAATTAAAAAAATTAGAACAGGTTTCTGTACTCAGTTACAAATCATGGATGAAAAGAATGTGCTAATCTTGAATTATACTGACTTCAATAGTTGTAGGCTAGGCCCAAGACATTCCCACTTGGCTTCCTTGATTGAGTGGATATCATGGATGAAAAGAATGTGATAATCGTGAATTATACAGACTTCAATAGTTGTAGGCTAGGCCCAAGACATTCACACTTGGCTTCCTTGATTGAGTGGATATCATGGATGAAAAGAATGTGATAATCGTGAATTATACAGACTTCAATATTTGTAGGCTAGGCCCAAGACATTCCCACTTGGCTTCCTTGATTGAGTTGATATCAGTGGCTTATGTGGCTTATTAAGTATGTATTCAAGCTAAGAAGTAAACAATTCTGGTCTCTTTTTTCTGTTAAGGGAGCTTGTTTGATGACGTAGAACTCTGAGAAGTTATAGTAGAGTTTAGTACAAGATGACCCATAGAGGTTGTTTGTTTGTTTTATAGCAAAGCGACATTGGGCTATATGTTGTGCTAACCGCAGGGAATCGAACTCTGAGTTTTAGCGTTGTAAGTCCATAAACTTACCGCTGTCCTACCGGGGGACAAACCCATAGAGAGAAAGAGAAGTATTTGTATTCAATATCTGTTCAGTTAGGGTTTCAGTGTTAGTGCCCGATACTTGTTATTTTATTGCAAGGCAATGTTATACCAGTCTCTTTGATTTGCAGTTAAATCAGATTGAATTACAACTTTTCTTAGCAAATATTATCAAGCCTCCTGTTATTGCGGTTTATAGTGACCTGTCTGTTGAATCCAAATCAGTATACCGTTACATTGATTAGTGTTTTCTAGTACAGTTCCTCACTGGTGAATTGTTGTGAAATTAGGGAGTTACTATCAAACAGTTTTATTTGTCATGCTTGTTACATAACTGCTTCCAGAAGTTCAGTGTATTACCATTATACTATCTTCAATTTTTTCCAGAACAGTTACCTGTTCGAGAACTCACGTGAATCTAGTGAATTACAGCTACAAAAGCTTGCATTATTCTAGAACGGTATTGATACTAACAATAGGCTAACTTGATAGACTGATGAGAGCGTAGACATAAGCATATATTTCATTATTCTTTTTCTGGTACGTTAATGTTAGTAGGAAAACTTAGTTTCTGGGGTTGCCATTATCTATGTTAATACTTTTGTTATGGCACTGTTTTTTGCTCATGTTTATTAATATTCTTCTTACAGAGGGATGCATACTTAAATATTTCAGGTGAAAATACTTTTTATAACTCTAAGTAAAAAGTTAAAAATGTTTTTCTAGCAGCTCGCAATTTGTGTTCTCTCTTTCTTTTCTTTAGTACTGCAGAGTTTATCAGAATTTTTATTAATCTTTAGGACTTGTGCACAGAGATGATCGCATTAGAATCATATTGACATATGAGGCCATATAAGCACCGCTTAATTCTTGTGTTTATGAAATTGTTTTAAACGTTCCTACATTATTTTGATCATACAATAATATTACTTTTTAGCCTCCTTATTTCAAACATGACATGACAAATGAGCCTCATGTCCATTAATACTTATCCTTAAACATTGGTTCCATGTTCCATTCTGGTGATCGCAAGTGAGCTGGATCCAACAGGTTAATTTATTAAAACCACACTAGGGGGGGGGGGTTCGATAAGATTTGAAAGACAAAGCTTAATGCAAGTCTGATTTCACCAGAAATGAAAGATATTGACATATTTACGTTGTTTCACAAGCAAACAACACTTTATATAATACAAAAAATTACACCCAAGATAAAACAACTCCTTGACACGTGCACTAGCGTGTGCATGACTAATGGGCGAAAGACAAGATCAAATATGGTCACAATTTTGCTCTGTAAAAACAGGATCAAAGTAAAGCTTATGTAAAACCAGACTTGCTCAGAATTATATACAGTTCTAAGCCATTTAGGCTTCCTAGGATGTCGCATCACCTAAGTCACCAGGCAAGACTCAATAACAGTTAACGAGTAACAAGCTCACCAATGTAAGACTAGAAATGTGAATGATATTATTGTTTGTATTCAGTCTACAATTGTGGTCTTACTTCATTCTTAATAAACGGAACTTTCATTTTGGCTTGTGCAGCTTTAATTTGAGAAGTAAGGTAATTAAACAGTCTAGATGGTCTTCCCCAAATCACTTGGTTATTATTATTGTTATTTTTGGTGGAAGTGGGAGAGTTAAGAACGTGTCTAAATGAGTAATGTTTTACCAGGAATAATTGTTATGACATGCAAAAGGTAGGTTTTAGTTTCTAAAGCGCTGTTAGCACTGAGCCAGAGGATGGCACAGGGTTAAGAAACTTTACTCACTTGTCCGAGTCTGGTATTTCTCTGTTTATATCACTAGTAAATAAATAATACAAAGTTTGAGTCAAACGATGACCTGTTGGTTCGTGTCATTACAATAGAAATACGTTCTGCATTTTAGGGCCATGACTATGTTATAAGGGTGACGGTGAAATCTCACTATTCGATGAGAATAATACAAAGTTTGAGTCAAACGATGACCTGTTGGTTCGTGTCATTACCATAGAAATACGTTCTGCATTTTAGGGCCATGACTATGTTATAAGGGTGACGGTGAAATCTCACTATTCGATGAGAATAACATAAAGTTTGTGAGATAGCAAATTCTATTATTTTTAATTATTATGGTTGTGTTTACCATTCATTTATTATTTCCATCAATCTATGAATTTTCAGGTGCATTAAAATGTTAACTCAACTTCTACATAATTATTTGTGTTTTGAGTAAATATGTATGTGTGTGTGTGTATGATGAAATTCACATCAGCTTCCCTTGTGGTGACGTACAGATACTATTAATGTAGCAGAAGGGTATGTAAATTAATGATCACATGATGTTGTACTCTCGTGACTTACTCTGTGAATAAATACCCTGCCAGAAGCTTCACTAAAAGAGAGAGAGTTAGTTGGTTATTGAAGGGTATACTTACTGGTGTTTGTCATTCAATATTGTTATTGAAAGTTATTGTTTGAATATTGTAATTGCTGTATATTTTTTGTGTGTGGAATTAGGTTTTTTCTTTCTGTTTTTTTCCCTGGTCCCATTATTATTGATGTATTAATAGTAATGTGAAGTACTGGCCAGGCAATAGTTTATTAACTGTCTTGAATTTATTTCTAAGTGTTGTTATTGTAAATAAATTGTGTTTTTGTTCATGAACCCTGATTGTAGCGACATGTTTATTTTAGATCGTTACAAGTTCGCGATGGGTGCTGTTGACCAACTGCCTTATCTATAGTCTATCAGTTCCAAATTAGCGATGGCTAACTCGGATAGCCTTTTGTTTAGCTTTGCAGGATTTTCAGAAAGCAACAACATATGATGTCAACTCGTACATCACATTTATTTTCCTATGCATTACGTTTATATATCACGCTACTACTCAGTGCGAACTTACTGATTCGGAGAGGCTAAGTTTTAAAATTAATGATCACATGATGTTGTAAGTTGTACTAGAGGCTAAGTTTTAAAATATGATATCGTGTAACGAAACTGAAGCCACAGGAAGTTAGACGAACAGAAACAATCACAGTAGCCATTCAACAAGTTCACTAAAGTTTTACTGTTATGTTAATAACGACAAAACAGGAACTTGATTAAAACTATTTGAAACAACTAGGTGATAGCAGCGATAAGACAGTTAACAAGTTTTGTGCAGGAGGCTTAACGTATAACACGCTGGGATGGTACAAAGATTGTTCCCCAGACGACAACAAATCGCAGCTGTAATGTGGCTTCTTCCCACGCTAGTAAATGTGTCTGTAGATGGAACATCTCGAGTATCATTACAAGTGTGCTTAATTAATAGTGTATTAAATAAAACATAATATAAACAATCAATCGTGCGATTAGACCTTTCTAAATTATTTTAGACATGATTTATACGGTACTAGTATGAGACCGTTTCTGTATCTGAACGTTAGGTATATGTAGGTGTGATAGTCCCTACATTTAACATACTTCTGCATTGAACTGCATAAGAAAATATACTGTAAGGTTTTTGTTTCGGATATTCGCGCAAAGTTACTCAAGAGCTATTTTCGTTAATCGTCCCTAATTCTCAACTGCTGATCAGCAGCATTCACCACTCACTCTTGAGCTACTCTTGTGTGACCGAATTGTAGGATTTGACAGTCTTCTTTATAACGCATCCATAACCCTAAAGTTCAGGAGCGCGATTATTATTATTATTATTTTCGGTTACAGGATGCAGATCCATAGTCCGGCACACTAATCACTGGTCGCACTCGGTCTACGCTGTAAGATTATTTCATTTTCAGCGAATACTAACAATAAATATCAGACATATTTTATTTATCTCTTTGAATATGCATATCTTACCGAAATAACATTCAGATGAAAACGAAGCAAATCGTAAGATTATTTTAGAATCGAGTCACATATCAAAGACAGGAGCAGAAAGGTTCTGTGCTACCTGGTGAATAAATTCATAAAACTGTTTCTGCATGCATTTCAATCCTAACTGTTCAGAAATGTCTTCATTGTTTGTGTAATCCTTGTACTCCTGGAAGAGAAATCTCGAATAAACGCTGTCTCGTTTCTCTACAACGATCCCGGCTAAAGAAACAGCCACTTGTACTACCAATCAATGGTGTTGGTGACAGAGGAACGGGAACCAACGATCTGTATTTACTTTCTTTGTGATAAAGGACAAATCACTCACAGTCAGTGTTAATAACAGTGAAAAATATTTATCAGCCATTTATAGGCAAGTATATAATTGTGGAGGCTAAAAGGAAAGAGAAGAACAAACTTTTATAGGCAAGTATATAATTGTGGAGGCTAAAAGGAAAGAGAAGAACAAACTTTTATAGGCAAGTATATAATTGTGGAGGCTAAAAGGAAAGAGAAGAACAAACTTTTATGATTACTCTGTTTAGCAGAACTGGAGGAAAAGATGAGGGACCATTTGTAATTTCTATGCAGTAGAAAGAGGCCAAACATATACTGAGCGCTATAAAGTCATGATGATGAACTACTAATTTGTATTAAAACTTCGTGTACTGGAAACTGCAAGGTGAAATGTGGATCAAACAGTGTAAGGTAGAAGTGTACTCAACCTCATGAACTTATTTTTGTATAACTTTGGCAATGAGGAAGAAAGGAGTGGACAAACTTCGCTATTTTACTTACTATGTAACGTTGGTAGGAGTAAAGTAATCTATCCTTTTTACTTACTATGTAACGTTGGTAGGAGTAAAGTAATCTATCCTTTTTACTTACTATGTAACGTTGGTAGGAGTAAAGTAATCTATCCTTTTTACTTACTATGTAACGTTGGTAGGAGTAAAGTAATCTATCCTTTTTACTGGCTGAATTAATTCCTCGTGATTTGATCTGCTTTAATTACTGAAGAATTTAATGAAAAATCAAAGTAATAACCTATGCTCAATCAGACATTAGGTATAATGAATTGATATGATATTTTTATTCAAACAAAACTAATCAGAAATTAAGATTATCTTTGTAAAGTTATAACAGCTATTTTAGCCAGAACGACAGCTCTGATGAACCCTCATGGTTGATGACTTTGTATACAGTTACTGACAACCAATAAATTGGCACTCGAGTTTTACTTTATCACGATATCTGAATTGTTGAAGTTTACATTACAGTTATGGCAATGAACCTAATGTGATATATGTGGTACATAGAAAAATAAAAAATAAAAGAAGGCGAACTTACCTGTGTGAGTTCGCTGATGAGCTTTGAGATGAGAAGACTTTGTGTACACTTTCTGACAACCAGAAAACTGGCACTTGTGCACTCGTCTCTTATCTGATCCGAGGTCCAACCGACATCTAGGTCGTGGAGAGCCGACGGGTTTGGTTGAGAATGCTGGGGACATTAATGTGGAATTTAAGAGTGTCGTCTTCTGAAAGACGTCTCCTTTTGGTCCTATCGACACTTGTATAGTGGAGTTAAATCCCAGACTTTGGGTGACTGGTTGCACAAACTCGCCATCTGGTGAGGACGGAGGAGAAAACGAGGCTTCTGATTTATTAACCATTTTCAAGACAACTTTTTCCGGTGATGCCGTAGGCGATAACACTTTCTTCCTTTTCAAGCTTTGAACATTGCTTTTAAAAACATTAGAAGTGTTTGGAACTCGAAAAACTTTACCCATTGAACTTTCACACGACAAAGAGCTTGAGACTGAATTAATACTGATATCAAGAGTGCGATCATCGATATCGAGGTCAGAGATACTAAGCCTATCTTCCCCACCACTGCTATTACCTGAATCGCTAATACTGGTTGTATTCTCGACCTCCCCGCCATTCAACAAGAGACGGTTCTCTTCCATAACATTCTTTATGGATGTATTTTGTTCTTTGGGGAGAGTAAAGAGGTCCCAGGGGCTTTTGAGGTCGTCGGGTAGAGGTTGACAAGGGTGCAGCTGGGGTTCTTCACGAAGATACCGCTCCATCTCCAGAAGGGTCTGAAACAGACAAAACGACATCTAAAAAAGTATAGAGATACTAAAATAATCCAGAAGCATCTTATTTTTTACATCTAATTCAGGACTGTAATCTTTAAATTACATGTGATGAAGAAACAGATGTAACGAGATCTGTATATTTTCTACAAGTTCAATTTATAATATTATACTAATTAAGCAATTTCGATTGAGTTTTACTTGTTTCATTTTATAGGTTGAATGGACAGGTCAAAGATTTCTATGGTTCAGACATAGCTGTTCTTTATTTTAAAATGCGGACCGGAGGGAAGGGAAACAGTCGGAAGCATCCGCCTCCTGAAGCAGTTAATACTAATCCACTAATGTAGTAACTACGGCTGAAAGTGTGAAACGTATTTGATAGCACTACATCTCGAATTTGAGACCCTCGGATACTCAGCCCAACATGTCGGACATTACGTCACTTACGTCACGCTAAGGCCATTTCAACTATGGTTGTGAAATTAGTTAAAACATACACGAAACATACCAAACATAAACAATTGTTTATCAAACGATTAATTCATTTACTATATTTATTTAGGTGTTATGATCTTGAACATGGAGAATATGAATCTAAGCACTAATTCGAAACACACACTCCATACATTTGTCGATAACACACCCACAAACCCAAAATCAAATAGAGAGAGACTTTCGAGTGCAAACATATGTAACAAGTAGAGACGAGTTTACTTTTATGATGAAAATTTTAAACGAAATATGTGGACTACTTTATTTTACGGTTATTATTTTGCCCCAAGATCAATCGATATTGTGTCTTTTAAGCAGAATGGTTGTGACTGCGGTATTTGAGAGAATTAATGATATGAAACCGACTTCATTAACATTAATATTTAACCAGGATGCTAAAAATATTTTGCATTTATATAGACAGTATGCTATACACAGATTAAGTAAATCTGCTGACAGCTACTTGTTGAAAAGTTACAATTTCGTTTTTTCTTTCCAGGTTATATATTATACGAGTGAAAGTAAAGAAGAATGTAATATGCCAACCACGCTATATCCAATGTCGACGAGGCCTTTCGTCCAATATCAGGGTTCAAGAAGCTGGTTGTTTTTTCGCTTAGATAACATAGCGGTGCAGATAATAACACTACCACACATTCTGAGTGATTACTATCCTGATATTAAAACTGAAAATATTTATATTGTCCCTTAAGTTTGTCTGTTTGTTTACAGACATTCACGAAAAGTTACACAAGAGCTATCTGCACTAACCGTCCCTTAAGTTTGTCTGTTTGTTTACAGACATTCACGAAAAGTTACACTAGAGCTATCTGCACTAACCGTCCCTTAAGTTTGTCTGTTTGTTTACAGACATTCACGAAAAGTTACACTAGAGCTATCTGCACTAACCGTCCATAGTTTTGAACTCACACTAAAGGGAAGGCATCAACTCAACAGCTGCCACGTTTCTAATTTTGAACTCACACTGGAGGGAAGGACCTAACCAACAGCTGCCACGTTTCTAATTTTGAACTCACACTGGAGGGAAGGCATCAACTCAACAGCTGCAAAATTTTAACTCTTGGGTGAAACGCATAGTGAAATTTTACCATCTTTTCATAACACACTCATAGCCCAAAAGTTTGAACCAGTGATTCTCAGGTTCATAGTCCTGCACGTTAACCACTCAGACATGTCTGGCCCCAGCCCTAAATGAATAACAATGTTTTTTTTTTTAATTATTCTATAGACAAGAAATACTGATGCTCAGATAACAAACATTTTACAAACGTTTATTTTTTGAATTAGTTCTCTAGTTGCCTGTGATGAGCGAAAAATACCTTATTAGTGTGAGAAACTGTCGTGGAGAAGATCTTGATCACCAACTGATGTGTGCTTCAACTTCAACTTCAAGTAAGGAGGTAAAAGGAAGGAATTGTTAAATTCAATAGTAGAAAATTATTAAAAGAATCTGTAAAAACGAAATTATTTTGGAGACAGCACAGTTGAAGCTCAAACACTATACCATGAAATATGTAAAATATACAAGAAAGCTGGAAAACTGTCCTGGATATCAGATGAAACGTTGACAGTTTCAGAACAGAGGAAGATACAAAAACAATATGTGAAGAGAATAGATAAAGTATGAACGGTCAAGTACTGGAGCTTGCATAAAGAAGTTAAAAAGACTAGCAAGAAGGGATAAGTGAGAATATTACGAAAATCTCGCTGCTAAAGTTGATCAGAAAATTATTAGAGGGAATAGCATGGAGGCAAGGGAAGCTTATACATTTATTCAAGAGATCAGTGGGAATAGAAGAGAGATGAAGAATTTGCCAGTTAGAGATCATAATGGAGTAAAGATAACAAGTGAGGTAGGAATTAAGTTAAGATAAAAGGAACACTACAAAGAGGTTTTGCATTGGATAAATGATGAAAATGGACAATCCTTGGACATACCTCCACCTCAAAATGAGCTGAATATAGACACAAATTAAATTAGTTTTGAAGATATATATATATATATAAAACAATCGGGAAGTTGAAAAACTGAAAGGTGCCTGGAACTGATGAGGTGAAATGTTTAAATTGGACAATAAGGAATGTAGATGTTCAATAAGATATGGAGGACTGGAGTGATACCCGATGACTGTAAATGGGGTACTTATTGAGATGCGAAAACTGCAGAGGAATCTTCTGTTGCTGGAAGTTTTAGTCTTATCATTCTAAATATAATATAGAAATAATTTGTACAGTAATGAAAGTGGGCGAGACAGATTTTTCAAATTTGAAAACAGGGTTCTAAAAAGAATCCTTGGAATTAAATTTATAGATCATGTATGTGTGCAACGTACGAGAGAAATGGCACAATAATGTTCTGCATTGATGACCTTATGAAGATGGCTAGATGGAAATAGATCTGACGTGTGATGCGCAGGGACAATGAAAAAAACAATGATCAAGAAAGAAGTTAAAAAAGAGACTTAATGTATGTACCTCAAGGAAGAGGTAGACCGACCGAGACCAACGTGCTTGGACTGAGTTAGTGGAGGCCCTTTGTGTCACTAGGCATGTAGGGTCTTAATAGTAGTAATAATAATAACTAGCAGAGACCCGTAAAACATTTCCGGCCAAATTAGTATCTTTATCGAAATAGTACTTCTTTAAAGCTAACATTTCTAGCACAATACAAACGAATTGTAATCGTAGACAACGAAATGTGAAAATACACTTGTATATAGGCATACTTTATAAAACTTTAACTTATGTTAGGCCTAAGTTCGATAAAAAGACAAATTAACACTGTAACCTGTGTACATTTTTTTGTTTTACTTTAGTTTAGTTAGAACTAAACTTTACTGTACTTAATATTATCGATAAATAAAGCTATAATGTGTTTGTTATTGTTTTGTTTTTAATTATGCACAAAGCTACACAAGGGCTATCTGTGCTCTGCCCACCACGGGTATCGAAACCCGGTTTCTAGCGGTGTAAGTCCGCAGACATACCGCTGTGCCACTGGGGGGGCTATAATGTTATTCTACGACCTAACGTCAAACCTTTTTTAAAAACTTTGATAAGTTTTTAATATTGTGTTGTACAAAATGGTTAGTAAAGTATATTTACATTCCTATTTTGTTGTTACTTCTTGTTTCATACAGCAATTGTAGCGACTTGATCACTGAGCTTTGCAGCTTTCTGCCGCAGGCAGACTGTTTGTCGTCGAGAGAATAATGCACATGCGCGGTTTTTCTTGGAGAAACATTATAACTACGCATACTTATGCAGCAGGTTCTCGGTCAGAAAGGTAACGGTCGTACATACAAACAAGCAGAATAATAGTTTATATAAAAGACTGCACTAAAAGCGTGAAAGGTTACATATTTACTAACCGAAAGTAATGTAAAGTACAATAGCTAAATTTTAATATAATACCATCAAAACGACATAAAACAAAACACTTGTTATATTTTATACTATATATTTATTAGAACCCTTTGCTTCATACAGACTGCAATAATAGTTAGGAGATTTCTAAGTTTCTAAGAAACACGTTTTTTTTCAAAGTATTTAAACTTTTTTATTGACACAGGACTGGAAAAATTCAAAGAAGTTGAAACAGTGATCCTTTTCATCAAGGCTTACAGTTTTGTGTTTTATTGTCATAATTATAACATCCTTGAGAAAGGAAATTTAAGCTGCCAGTTACAGGACAGAGTTGAAAAAGAAGGCGTAAGAAACACGTTGCAAAATTTCATATTTTAACTATATTCTTAAAAAGTAATACATGCTTTTTGGAGCTCGAACAAAAAAACCAACAAAAACACGAAATCCCTGAAAAAACAGTTAAACAGCGCTAGCAAAGTCATCGCTTTTGAAAATTACAGCGTGGAACTGTATACTATTTTAAATAATCTAAATGTATCTGTCAGTTTAAGAATTGTACAGACATCACACCCGTTAAACCATTACCAAATTGACATTTTTATCCACTGAACTTTTTGGGTTATTATCTGTTAGCGTAGCAGGAATGTAATATATTGTGTAAGAATAAAGTAAAAATAAGATCAAAATAAGTAATGAACGTAAGCAATTTTAAAACCATTGCGTTTTAAAGAAAAAGATACTAATAAAATAATTACGATTATGCCCAGGCAAGAACAAGATAATATTAGACAACTTGGGTCACGTGTTGCCGCCATGACAGTGCGTAAAATAATCAATCAATAAATTAGTATAGATGAGAAAGAACATGGTATGCCTGCATACCACACAGCCCCACACTAGCAGCGAATTAATTATATGGATGAAAAGTGGCTTCTAGTATTGTGATACCTGGATGATATTTTCGATAAACTCAGTGACCTTAACTTGTTACTGGAAGGTCGGAATAGCAATATTTTGCAGCTAAGTGACGGGTATACATTTTGTAAAAAACTTGTAATGTGGAAAAACCAATTTGAGAATGGAAACTGTAAAATATTTCCTTGCCTCATTGAATTCTCAGGTGGTTAAGGCGCTCGACTCGC